TACAACACACACACATATATATATATATATATATATATATATATATATATATATATATATGTCTCCACGTTAGTGAGATATTGTCCGTTTTGAATTCAAGTCCTCACGAATTTATTTTTGGACATCACCCAAAAGACCTCTCAATTAATGAAGACAAATGTGTGTATATAAACTCATGTTCATTCTCTTGTTTGAACTATGCGAGACTTCGATTGCATTCCAACAGTTTGCATTGTCTGCATCAGCAGATTCTAAATTAGCTATTTTTGAATTAGTCGAAGCATCAGCAGATTCTGAATTTGCTGGTATAGATGCAACAGCACCCAAAGCATCCAAGAAGAATCTCTTATTAGGGATGATACCATCTTTATCGTAATATTACTAGTATATCCCCTTTCGTAATATTTATCCTCAAATCCAGATTCGAGTACATGTTGAAATTTGTCCCGTGGTTCTAGAGTCGGAGTAAAATGGGTAACAGGGAGCGTATTAGATTAGTTTCCAAAAACAGAATAATTTGGGAAAAGAAATTACAGAGAATGTATCTATAACTTTTTTTTCTTTCTAAAAACAAAGTATACACAGCCCAGTGTTTTACAATCAACTAAATGATAATTTCATTGTATATATTTTTTTACTCAAATATTATTATAAATATTTTATTTAACTTTTTTTAAATGATTTGATCACTTTTTAAAGATAATAAATTATATAATAATATTTTTATTTAATAAAATTTAAATTATTTTGAAAATTTGATAACTTATAATTAAAATTATTTAAATAAAAAATTCAATAAAATAAATTAACAAAAAAGATGTTATTTTATAAGAAGGATAAAATTATATTATTTCATTTTAAAAAATAAAGTGGTATCAAATATCATTAAAATATAAAAATAAAATAAATTTTAATAATATTATTAAGCTTGACAAGATGAAAAATAAATAACACAAAAAAAAGAGAGAAGGAAAGAGAGCGAGAGAGATGGAAAGAGAGGGGGGAGTCAAGGGAGGGGGAAGAGATAACCTCATAGAATGAATGAGAGAAAGAAAGAGAAAGAATACGAGAGAGATATTTTGAAAAAATAAAAAATAAAAAAATTAATAATATATTTTTTATTTTTAAAAAGAAGATATTGTGATATTTTTATATATATAATAAAAAATTTCTTCTAAGTCAAAAAAATAAGATTCTCAACCTTCAATGAGAATGATTTTGGGTATATTTGTTTTAATATTTTTCTTATAAAAATGTTTTTTTAAGTGAAATATTTTTTTATGTGCTTTTCTAAACTTTTTTTTTTTGAACAAGAAAGCAATTTTCTACTTCTTTAATAAACAACTTTAATTAGCTTCATAAATATATTTTTTTAAAACACTTGCTTAGAAATTTTTTTTAAAAAAAGTTTAAACAAACGAATCCTTTATGAAAAATTGGGATAAAATGGTTTTGAAAAATCATATCTCTTGCAAATCTTGTTTTTTAAATAGATATCATACCAATCATGGAAAATCAATATTCTCAATATAAAATTAAAATTAAAATTTTCTCTTCTACTAAACATTCACTTAAAGTATATAAGCATAATTCTAAGCGTGTGGTTTAGCGATAGGGTTTGATTCACGCTTAAGCAAGGTCAGGGATTCGAATCATACCTTATGTATGCAGTCGCGTTAAATCTTGGAGCCAGCTATCCCACCCTTTGAGGTACCTCCAACATAGAGATTAGTCACTCTCTATCGGGACGAACAAAAAAGAAAGTATATATGCATGAATCTATCCCTTATATAATTATTTTGTATTTCACCCTAATACCATAAAATGTCAAAACCTTATCTTAAGATGGAGAAGGGTAATTAATTATTTTTGAACAAAATATTATTTTAGTCTTTAAAAATTTATTTGAATGTCACAATAGTTTATGAAACTGAAACAATTTCAAATAAATTCTTAAAATAAATATTTTAGTTATTTCATCTTACAAGCACTCAAATTTAGCATGTTATTATCATTTAATTTGATCTCTACACATGGATTAATATTATTATTTAAATCACATTTTATTTGTTGAGTTTTAGAATAATATGATTAACGAATTATATTTTGCATACAATTTTAATTTTCTTAATTTGAAAAATTAATATCACAATAGTATACCCTTCCATCAGTTGATGCAATAAAATGATGGTTGACACTTCATTTTTTTCATCGGTCTTTTTGAAATCAAGCTGATCAAACATGAAATACGTACCATGAAACAGTTTTTGCTAGTCCCTTTCATTAAAAAGTCGATACGTAGGAATGGCAACCAGATGATTGGCTCTAGGCATTGCAAGGCCGAACGCCTCTGTCATGTCCAAGTCAGATGGCAACATGTCATTTGGTAGCTTCCAATCAAAACAATGCACAAGCTGAGCCACTATCAGACGAACCATACTTAGACCATCTTTGGTGGATTGCTTATAAGCAATCCTTGTGCCACATCATTGTCACGTTAGCTCTAGTTCACTTTATAAGTTGCTTAAATTTTAGTAAAGTTACTTGTGTGAACCAGAGTTAATGTAGCAATGATGTGGTACAGGAGTTGCTTATACCGGAGAGACGCTCTTATTTGCATTCCTGGCCAGATCCTTCTGCCAGACCCAAATGGTATTAATTGGAAGTCTCGTCCTCTCAAATCTATGTTTCTTCCTTCAAATCTCTCTGGCCAGAACTTCTCAGCTTCATCCCAAACACTTGGGTCTCGCATAATTGCCCATGCATTTATTATGACAGTTGATTTTTTGGGTATGAAAAATTCTCCAATCATGCAATCTTCCCTTGATCGATGTGGTAGTAGTAACGGTGCCACTGGATGGAGCCTCAAGCTTTCCTTTACAACCATTCCCAAATACTCTAACTTGTCCAGGTCTAATTCTTCTACCTTCCTATTCATGCCCACCACAGTTTCTAACTCCATTTGGACTTTTTTCATCACCCTTGGATTCTTTAAGAGCTCTGAAAGTGTCCACTCAATCGCTGTAGCAGATGTATCCATTGAACCGTCCAAAATATCCTGTGTAGACAAAAATTGTGTTAAAGAAGAGTGAAAATATGATGGCTAGTTATAAAAAAAATAGTGGAAGAGCCAGTGAAATAGTAGCTAAATTGGTATCGGTCCAAGTTGTTAAGAATGTAAGGTTTTATGTTAATGTAAGTTTAAGACATGTGATCCTTCATCATGCCATCTTCCTTTCTCCTATGTATATCCATATACTTTAAGCTATTATGTATGTAAGCAAATTCAATTTTAATATATATATATATACATATATATATATATATATATATATATATATATGTATATGAGGGAAAAGCTAAAATATGATATTCAGATTCTTTAGTACCGACAAAGCCCAACATGACATTGACAAAATCCTTCATCTTGTCTTCTCCCTTCTCGGATTGCAAGTGCTCATCAATAATTTTCTCAAAGAAGTCATCGAAGATTTTTCCAACTACTATCATGCGCTTAGTTAGTCCTTGAAGGTCAAGTTTACCAATGTAAGGAATGTATTCCCCTATGTTAGGAGTTGCTGCTAAGTGCATTAGCTCTTGCATTACAGCCTTGAACCCCTTCTCATCCAAGTCTTGGTCCATGTACTTCTTCCCTAAAATCATTCTACAAGCCATGTCTGCACTGAGTGTTGCAACCTTGGCACTAAGATCAACAACAGCTCCATCATTGGCGGTCTCTCTTACAAGCTTGATCAGTAGGTCAAGCTCCTCCTTCCTCATGTGTCTGAAGAAGTTAATTTTGGTTTCGCTTAACAATTCCAATGTGCACATCTTGCGCATGTTGCGCCAATAAGAACCATATTCAGCAAAGCATAAACTCTTCTGCTCCAAGAGATGTATTTTGCAGCTTCATTATGTGGCCTACCCAAGAAGACAAGGTCATGTGTCTTGAAGGTGAAGAAACCACAATGGTGGGCACAAAACCTAAGCGCAAGTACATGATAGGTCCATATTTTTGAGCTAGTTGGTGCAAATCACGATGAGGATTTGCTCCTAACTTGTGAAGGCTTCCCAAAATTGGTAAACCTTTTGGACCTGGTGGTAATTTCCTTGCCTTGTTGTTTCTTCTCCATAGCCACATATAAGAAAGACAAACCAAAACAATTGCTATCCAAATCATCTTAGCTATTTGGAAGAGTTCAAATTGCTAGTACGAAGTGTCTATCTTATGAAGAATGTTGTTTGTGTTTGTGATATATAATGCATGAGACCTTTTAGTAAAATTATGTGATGCCTACTGACGAGAGTACCATAATTAATAGCTATTTACTTGGTTGAATGACATCGCCGGCACAAGATACTTTGGACTTGTCTCTTGCGGCACGCCGGCACCTAAATATATATAAACAACAATGCCCTTTTGTTCTTTTATTTGGCCTTTGCGGAGCTTTTTGGACATTCATTTTGTGTTTCAAATTTTGAAACTAACATGGGTCTAATGGTCACACAGGTGATACATTGGTCGCTGTCCACGTCACTACCTTGCCGCAGTCTACATTAGATTTTCTGTGTCATTTGTAACATTGTAAGTTGTAACGGTGACCTTTCCATTATGCCTCGTGGCCTGTGCTTATTTTTCTTGTTTACTTATAATAATAAGCTTATAATTACATCATTTATTAAACTAAAAATATTTACAATAATGTACATATTTATAAACTACTTATTTCTTACACTATTATTACAATGTTTACATATTAGATTGATACAAATTTATTATAGGGTTAACATGGTTTGTTGGTTAAATAAAAAGTAACTATTATTTGACCATCTATAACAATAGAGTTTTGCTAAGTTAGTGAAAAAACAAAAATTGATACTTCTACGCCTTGAAATGTTACGGCTTTTCCGGCCGCGTCTATAGCTCAACTAATACCCGAAAAGACAGCAGTGATAATAGAAGTGAAAAGGCTTGGCAATGTTAGTAGATCCATCTATTTTCCATTATAATTATTAAATATTTTAAACAAGAAAAATAAGGAGAGAGAACAATTATCTAATAAATATGAACAATTACATAATATGCATAGAAATATTTAATACTAATAAATATATATTAATTCTTCTTAATATGAAAATTTGAATTATATTTGTAGTGACTAGTCAAGATAAATTAGCATGATAATAATGAATAACTAAAGATTATTTCACCTTAAGTTTTTACTCATTTAAATCCCTAAGGTAAGCCTCTAACAACAAATTAATTCAAACTTTTATTCTTATGACCATAAAATAATATTTATTTTTATAAATGCATGAAGAAATAACAACGAGATAAGTTTAAGATATTTTTAATAAAACTATATTATAGTTAATAAAAATAATTAAACTAAATAAATTTGAGTATTTTTTTATTATTTAATCTTTAATAAAATAATGTTTACATAAATGGAGTATATTAAAGAGTACTAATCAAGTAAATGACAGTGATAATCAATATAAAATAATTCAATAACATAAAATAATTCAATAACATAAACTAGGAACACCTTATTAATTATTACGAGTAAAAATTATCATAGATTAAGCAAGTAAGTGAGGTTAGGAACACCTCACTAAGTAAATACACATAAATAGAACTTAAAATAAACAACATAATAGCATATAAATTTTTAAAAAGATAAAGGTCTCCTCCCTCTTACCTTAATATTTAAAAGTAGACAAATTGAACCCTCGCGATTGTATTCTTCTTCTCACAACTCTCTTCCACTTTGCCTCTTAAATTTTTTTTTCTAGCTCATTCTACACCCCCTTACATCTATTTATACTCACATTTGTAATCATTACATTGTTGGTAATGAACCTTATTTTTTTCTATTCATTTGGTTCTTAATCATATGTTTCTTATGGATAGCATTTGGTTACTTTGCAGATAAGAATTCTGCACCAGGTTAGATAAAAATTCTGCAACATTTATCCCTGCATTCAATGCAACAGATTTTTTTTAACCATCCAATATATATAATTACTTAATAAAATGTAACAATTTATAGTGTATAATTAAAATATTATTCTGAAAAATATTATAAATAGGATTTTAGAATTTTATAATATAATTAATCTTATTATCTCTATTTTAATTTGTTCAAACTATAAAAATCCTAATGTATTAAAATAAGACATGTATATTTATTTATTTTAAATAAGATAACTAAAAATTAAAAGAAATATTATTTTAAGAAAAAGATAATGATAAGGAAATTTATAATATTATAAAGTTTCAGAATATTACAATTATTCTTCATTTACAAAAATTTCGTCCTCAAAATTTTTTATTGCTTAAAATAAATAAGGATAATTTTTTTTTATTTTCTCTTCCAATTCCCATGTAGCATTTGCAGTATCATCACTCCAGATGACCTTTACCAGTGAAATCTTTTTGCCCCTCAACTGCTTGATTCTCCTGTCTGCGATCTGTATGGGCATTGTTTCAAATGTAAGGTTATCCTTTAACTGTACTATATCAGACATTATTACATGAGAAGAATTAGAAATATATTTTCTTAATTGAGACACATGAAAGACATTGTGAAGATTAGAAAGAAAATGGGGTAGAGAAATTTGGTAAGCTACATGACCTATTTTTCTAAGAATTTGGTAAGGACCAATAAATCGAGGTGTGAGTTTTTTTTATTTCATTACCCTACCAATTTCAGTTGTTGGTGTAACTTTCAAAAATACATGATCACCTTCATGAAATTCAAGAGGTCATCTTTTCTTATTTACATAACTTTTCTGTCTGCTTTGAGTCGTTCTCAATTTTTCCTGCATCATTTTGATTTTATTCATGGTTTGTTGCACCATTTCAGGATCCAAGATTAAATTTTCTCCAGTTTCAAACCAACATAAAGGAGTTATGCACTTTCTTCCATATAGAGCTTCGTAGGGTGTCATACCTATGCTAGAATGGAAACTATTGTTATAAGTGAATTCAATCAGAAGCAAATATTGATCCCAACTACCCGAATCCTCTAGTACACAAGCTCTCAATAAGTCTTCTAAGGATTGTATGGTCCTATCTAATTGTCCATGTGCCTGAGGATGATATGCAGAGCTAAGGCGGAGCTTAGTTCCCAATGCTTGATGTAAACTTCCCCAAAATTTAGAAGTGAACATTGGATCTCTATCAGATATTATGTTAGATGGTACACCATGCAGCCATACAATCTCCCTTATATATAATTCTGTCAATTTTTCCAGTGAAAATGTTGATGGGTAAGAAATGAGCAGATTTTATTAGTCTATCCACGATAACCCATATGGAATCAAACTTATGTGTTGTTTGTGGTAAACCAACTCAAAATCCATTGCTATATTGTCCCATTTCCATTTAGGTATATCTAAGGGTCGTAACATTCTTGCTGGCTTTTGGTGTTCTATCTTGGCCTTCTGACAAATTAAACATGTAGCTACATATTGTGCTACCTCCTTCTTCATTTTAGGCTACCAAAATATTCTCTTGAGATCCTGATACATTTTTGTTGCACCAAGGTGTATGCTCAACTTGCTCTTATGTGCCTCACCTAAAATTACTTTCTTAATTTCAGAATTATTAGGCACACATATCCTATCATTAAATCTCAAAACTCCCTTTTGATCTATATTAAACTTTTCATTACCCTTTTATCCCAACAATCTTTTCTTCTGAATGAATGAATTCATCAACTATATGAGCCTCACAAACTTATCCATGTAAGTCACTAGTAATCTAAATTGCATGTAATTGTATTCTATCCTGACTTACTACAGTTGACAAACTCATATCTCTAAATTTTTCTATCAAATTCATCTTATGAATCATCAATGAAGAAATATGTAAAGATTTTCTACTCAATGCGTTAGCCACAACATTGACTTTTCCTGGATGATAATGTAATTCAAAATCACAATTTTTCAAAAATTTCATCCACCTTCTTTGTCTCATATTCAGTTTCTTTTGATCAAACAAATATTTGAAACTCTTATGATCACTAAAAACATCAAACTTACCACCATACACATAATGTCTCCATATCTTGAGTGCAAAAA